TTTGAGAGTGAAGTTATGAAAACATTCCAAGTGTCCTTAATTTTAGACAAGAACCCCATTCCCGCCCACTTTTGTTTACTCCGTATTCATTTTCGGAAAATATACTCTATTAATTATTTTCTGCCGTTTCTAATTTGATAACTTTTGAAGTTTTACCATATCAAATTAACACTGATTTTTTTAGTTTTTCATCTTTTATTTATTTATTTATTTATTTTTTTCATTTTTGACCTTGTTTCTCTTGATGTTCCTCACTATCTCATACGGACTATAATTTACTCCTAATAAGACTTCGTGAAGAATATGCATGATAAAAAAGTAATTACAGAACAAAAAATGTCTGATCTATTATATTGTAGCATTCATTTTGTAACTTGGTAGAAATTGCTATAATATAAAATCTATTGTAATATTATTGTACGAAGAAATGTTACAATAATAAATTGTTACTACGTATGGTACATCTATAGTAACACCAGTCGGATGCAACATACTAAAAAATGCAAGTTACATTTGATATATATATTATATTGTGACATTTTTGACACCTATTATCACATTTTACATATATTACAATAGCTATACTTTGCTACGTTGTAGTGTAAATATAGTAACATCTACATCCCATTTTGATGTTTTCATTAAAATATGACCTAATTTTTAGATAATAATTAAATGAAGTACATAATATTTAAGTAATAATTTGTGTGAGTATATAATATAATTAGATAATTGACAATAATTGAGATGTTATGAGTGTATTATTATTAAGGGAAAAATAATAAAAATATCCTAAATTTTGAAGTGGTGTGAAGTAAACACCCCAAACTTACATATGTAATTTAAATACCCCAAACTTTATATTAAAAGTTGTTTTCACACCATTGTCATGTATAATTTCTTTCAAAAGTGTAAATTTATGGGGTTAATATCATAATATAACATAGCAAATTAAAAGTGTTGCAATATATATATTGGGGGTGACATTATTTATTTCAAAACGGAAGTTTAGAATGTTAATTGTGTCTTTATGAATTCTAAAATATTTTAAATTATGCAATTAATACCATAAATAGAAATTTATGAAAGAAATAATTCTGGATTATGGTGCTAATATAATGTTTTATATAAAGTTTGAGGTATTTAAATTACATATGTAAGTTTGGAGTGTTTATCTCACACCCCTTCAAAGCTTGAGATATTTTGATAATTTTTTCCTATTATTAATGAATGATTATTAAATTATAATCATTTAAAAGTGTTAATTAGTTTCTAAAACGAATCAATTGAGACCCTTTAAATGGTACGGAGTATTCCGTAATCAAGTGAGACCCTTTATCTAGCAGGGAGGGAATAATATTTAAGAAAATGCATTGAGAATTTTGTAAATTTTTAAAAGCTGGCATGTAATCATACCTGACCTCAATTAAAAGTACATTTTTCACAAAAGTTACGGCTTTTGGGATTGCTTTCGGACAACATTGTTGATATTTTTATTATTTTAAAGCAAATAGATCCCAACTTTTACTTTTTGACTGGACTAATTTACCCATCCCGTTGAATTATGAGGCTACCAAATACAATAATGGAATTACTTAAAAAAAGATCATGCAAAGATAAGAAAAGAAAGCTCATCAAAGAGAGAATACTATACAAGAAATTTCAAATAGTCTTTTGTGGCAACATTACTTAATTTAAAGGAAAAATGTTATGTTACTACATACTATTTGACAAAAGATGGCTGCTTAATTCAATTCTATTTCATCGAAAAAAATTATCTAGCTGTTTGATTTAATATATGTTGTTGTGATTAATTAATGATAAAAAATAATATTTCCCTCCGAAAAGATCTTAAATTTTTAAAAGAGCATCTAACAAGTTTTAATTTGCACGTACCAAACATATACTATACTCCGTAACTAAGAACTTTTGTTGACTTTTAAATGGTACAAAATTTAGAAAAGAGATATCAGAGTTATTTCTATGAAATACTCCCTCCGTCCCCTTTTAAATGTCCCGTTTTACCATATTGGAATGTCCCTATTTAATTGCCCCATACCTTATTTGGTAAACTTTGTGTGGCTCAAAATCATTCTTACTTTATTCTTACTTTATCAATTAATATCAACCACACAAACACACTTTTCTTAAAACCCGTGCCACCATCTCCCGTCCCATTTAAAAGGGGACGGAGGGAGTAATAAAATATGGCAATACTTTATTAGACATTTGATTTAGAGGATGCTTTTGTTTGAAAGTTAGAGGATGCTTTTTTAAGTAAAAGGATACAAAACATCCCAAGCTCACTCTGAGAACTCCTTCTATACCCGAACAGTCTTCCCCACCATTGCAATAATCTTTTAGCACTGCAACCAATTAAATGGATTCAAATGAATAATGAATTAAGGTCCGATCATAATTACAATTAGAATCTATCAGCATATATAATTAAGCTTCACTACAAAATAGGAATCGACAAGGATTTTGGATAAGTTTGGTCAAAATTGATAGAGAATTGACATGATATATCATATACTCCGCATTCATATTTGTGCCAAAAAATATTTTGACACGATCTATATGGCACGAAATTGTTAAATCTATATATCAATGCCGTACGTACCTTTGATTGAGTTCAAAGTAGTAAAGCCATAGTCTCGAACAGCCACCGCTAGTAAACTCGTAACAGTAAACATTAATATATAAGCATATCGGGCCATCCATGGATTAGAACCATTTCGAAACTGCATGTACCAAGCACCATTCCGAATATTTGTGTAGCGACTTGTAACAGTATTATCACCTTCACCGACCGCCATTTTAATTAATTCGCACTTCAAAGAGGTAAAGGCTTATATGCATATAATGCACCCAAGTGTATGATGGCATATATATGTGTGGGTGTGTGTTTTGTTACTTTTGTGGACAAGGAAAAAAAAGATGATTGGGTAGATTAATGAAGATCTTAATCGATGAGTGTTTTACTTTATGGATGTTTTTACTTGGACTGTAATTAGTCCCCGACCAGACCAGCTCATACCAGATCAGACCAGTTCAGACTAAACCAAACTTGGATAATTATAAAAATACAAAGAAATTAGACCAGACCAGACCAGACCAGTCAGACCAGACCAGACCAGCAAATTACAGTCCAAGTAAAAACATCCATGTAGTACTCTCTCCGTCCCATTTTATCTGTCTTACTTTCCTTTTTGAGTTGTCGCAAAATAAGTGTCATCCTTTTTGGAAAGAAATATGTAGTCCACATCATTTCACTTATGGAATATTATACTCAAATTTCAACAACAACCTTTACATTTTCAACCATTTTAGTAATAATTGTGCTAAAGTCAAATGAGACACATAAATGGAACGGAGGTAGTACTACGTAATTAATAATATACTACCTTTGTCTCATTTTATTTAGTCATTTTTTATTTTCTAACAAAAGAGAGTAAAATTATTTGACGGATTATTTTAACTAATATATCTATGCAAAATTTAATAATTTTATACTCCTATAATAGTATTTTTAACAAAGAACATTTTCATATCATTTTCAAATTATCAATACTTTATTTATATTAATAGATATATAATTGATCATCAAAGTTAGACACCATTAACTTGAAAACATTTAACTAAAATGCATATAAAGAATATGTCAATAATGATTATGTTAGGATTGTTTAACTATCGGAGAGAGAAATGAAAATGCACGACACCTAACTAAGGAACATTTACGTTTGACTACATTAATTGACAATTTCCGCACACATAATGATTTATCTCTCATTGGTTTCAGGAAATACCCAATGCTAGTCTAGCTGGTTATCAATATGTAGAGTAGTCTTCTTGTCCAGCTAGCTTGACGGGAATCGCCGTCCGGCCGAGGGCATTTCGGGCACTTCCCGATGGAATATTTTGATGAAATTTTTAGTGTCTTCCCGATTGAATTTTTAGCTGAAATTTGGTATGGATAAACTAGACTTCATGAAGAACATGCTAAAAAAACTTCATCAAAAAATTCCACCGGGAAGTGCCCGAAATGCCCTCGGCCGGACGGCGGTTCCCGTCAGGCCGGCTGGACATGAAAAGTCCTCTCAATATGTATGTACTCTAGTACAAAAGAGAAAAGGAGCAAATAAGCTCTCGATCTATTTGCAATTCTGCAATCACATCCTTGAATTTGAATAATTGCATATATACACCTCTCAACTCATTGAAAATGATACAATCAGATCCTTTTTACTTGCTAGTGCCGGTAATATTTCATCTTCTTACCCCCACCAACAAGTAAAAAAGGATATGATTGCATCATTTTTAATGAGTTGAGGGGTGTATCTGCAATTATTCAAGTTCATGGGCCTGATTGCAGAATTGCAAATAGCTGGAGGGCTTATTTGCCTCTTTTCTCAGTACGCAATGGCGTACGTGTGCCCGATTTAATTTACGTTAGACTTATGATGAGCTAAAGCCTAAAACTCAATCATAATTAGTGTTTCCAGTTTAATGTTATGTAAACTTTGTCATTATATTTTTCATATTTAGCTTATTCTACTTTTTTTTTTTCATCAAAATAATCAATTTGTGATTCTATTCTTTTCATCTGCACAAATTTCAACCAACCATACTTCACTTTTTTTATTATTATTATTTTTAACCCGGAAGGCAAACCACCGCATCCAGTGGGGTAAATGCCGGGGGTAATTTACCATATTTTATTAAGCAGCAAGAGAATACATGACCAAAGTGAATAAAAAAATTGGGGGGGGGGGGGGGTAGACCTTACCCAATATAATAAAAAATTAACTGAAACGAAAGAAGCTAAGACCAAGCTTATCTGCTAAAATTGATTTTCGAATATAAACATGAATCTCCATATTATTTGAGAAAACAGTAAAACCATCAAGATCTAATCTGGATAAAAGATGAGCTGGCATGTTCGCTTCTCTCCAAACATGTCCAAAACTCATCCCACCCTCAGCCACCCGTCTTCTCCAGTCATCCGAATCCAGGCAAGCGAAAATTCTACCCTTCGACCTGTTGGAAGCCTTAATCGCTTCAATTGCCCCTTTAGAGTCTGATTCAACTTCCATTTCTCGGAAACCCTGCTCCATCATCCAAGAAACCGCTGCTATGATAGCTATCGGTTCAGCTTCAAGAGCTGACCTAGCCGAAATAGGAAAGTGCAGTGCCCTCAACAGTTCCCCTCGGTCCGAACGTAGAAGAGCTCCTCCCGCTACCTGATTCGAACCAAAAGAGGCATCAACATTCAACTTATATTTCTGTTCAGGTACCTTCCATTTGACTGTTGTAATCCTAGGTTTAAAAGATTTTGCAGTTTTGGGGATAAAACCTTCTTCGAGAAGAGTAGGATGGGGCTTCTCCTTGAATTTCAAACTCCCTAATTTGGAACAATACCATTCTTGGGCATAAAACTTAATTTTGTTAATCACCAAGTTAGCTGATGGAATATTTATCAAATCTCCCCAAGTGGTCTGAGAATAAATTTTCCAAATATTCCACGCTATTATTCCAGGCATATTGTGTCTATAAACATCCATAAGCGTTCTTGACCCAGCTTCCAACTTCACTTTTATTATTTATCATCTAATTCAAAGTTAATGTCTAATATGGAGTAGAACACACTCGTATATAATTAAAAGTTAAGAAAACTATCAAATAAGTCCCCTGCCACTTCAAAAAAATCAATTGAACCCCTCAACTAAAACAACAACTAATTAGACCCACGAACTAAAAAAAGGCAAATCCTCTTCTTAACAGGCACCCTTCAAGTTCCCTGTTAAATTGCTTATGTGGCGTCTGATGTTGCATTTTTTATTTCTTTTTCTTTTTCTTTCCTTTTTCTTTTTCTTTTTCCTTCCTTTCTTTGCCGCTCACTTCTTCTTCCCGCCCAGCTGCAACTTTTTATTTTTGGGTTTCTTTCTTTCTTTCCTTGTTCTCTTCCCCCTAGTCCTCTGCTCGCAATTACCCGGCATCACTTCACCCTCCTCTTCTTCACCAATGTTTAGGCCGTTCTCCGGCCGAATTGAACTCGGATCTAGAAGTGCTCTGGAGGTCTCATGGAGCACCAGCCAAATTGAAGCTTCAACAGAGTACCTACCTCGTCTTCTAATCCATCAACTCGAGGAAAGAGGACGAACGACCAGCGAGGAGGTGTCCGGGGAGCGATGAGTACTCGGGCATCTCCGGCGACCTTAGTTCACTCTGACTTTGCGCAGTGGAGCGCCGTCCAAGGTGTCCGGCGAGGGTGGGTAGAAGAAGATGGAGGAATTGGGTATAAGAAGATGGAGGAAGTGGGTGGAAGAAGTGGAGGAAGTGGGTGAAGGCTGTACTTGAAGCACCTTCAAGGTTGCAGGGACGGAGGGTGGAAGAGAAACATGGAGAAGGGAAACAGTGAGAAAAAAGAAAAAGGATCGGAAATGGGGAAAAAATGAAAAAAGCCATATATTAGTTGTCGTAAAGTCAAAGTTTTTTTTACAAGGAAGTGCAAAGTCAAAGAGGACTTTTAAAAGAAATGAGATGTAAAGTTAAAGTTTTTTTAAAAGAAGGTGCAAAATCCAATAACATTCAAAAAGTGAGTACAAAGTCAAAATTCCATTTCATAAAAATCTCTCGAGTAAAAAGCATTCCACATCCCTTAAATAGTTCATTAATTGAAAATGAGATAAAAGATTGCAAACACCATAAAATGACATTTTTATTAAAAAAAACTAAATATAAAAATAAGAAGGTAAATATTACTCTGTATCTTAAATTAAAGAGATGAGAATATTATATATATATATATATATATATACATATATATATATATATATATATAGGAATATTCCTGTCCGGAAATTCCGGACAGGAGCCCCGTCCGGCCTCCTCCATTTGGGGGCCTTCCCGGTGGTATTTTTTGATCAAATGTTTTGTGTATGTTCCTCATCAAGTCTAGTTCATCCATACCAAATTGTAGCAAAAAATTCAATCGGGAAGGTCGTCAAATGATATTTGCAAGTTAACGTACTGGTCCGGAAAATACATATTCCGGACCAGTTAACTTGAAAAAATCATTTCACAACCTTCCCGATTGAATTTTTTGCTAAACTTTGGTATGGATGAACTAGACGTGATGAGGAACATACACAAAAAATTTGAGCAAAAACTACTACCGGGAAAACCCCCAAAAGGAGGAGGCCGGACGGCACTACGGTCAGGACACTCTCTCTCTCTCTCTCTCTCTCTCTATATATATATATATATATATATATATATATATATATGCCTGTATGCATGCATGCATGTATGAATGTACGTACGTACGTACGCATGTGTGTACGTACGCATGTGTGTGTGTGTGTGTGTATGTATGCATGTGTGTGTGTATGTGTGTATGTATGTATGTATGTATGTATGTATGTATGTATGTATGTATGTATGTATGTATGTATGTATGTATGTATGTATGTATGTATGTATGTATGTATGTATGTATGTATGTATGTATGTATGTATGTATGTATGTATGTATGTATGTATGTATGTATGTATGTATGTATGTATGTATGTATGTATGTATGTATGTATGTATGTATGTATGTATGTATGTATGTATGTATGTATGTATGTATGTATGTATGTATGTATGTATGTATGTATGTATGTATGTATGTATGTATGTATGTATGTATGTATGTATGTATGTGTGCGCGTGTGGGTGTGTGTATTTATGTGTGTCTGTATGTGTGTATGTGTGTGTATGCATGCATGCATGCATGCATGCATGTATATGTATGTATAGAACTGATCTGGTCTGGCACGCATGCATGACCAGAGACTGTATAATCAAGCCCATTCCGCCGATCCAACTCGACGAGGAGTTGGACGGGGGTTCAGTATTGGGGTTAGAGTTTACTCTCTATAAATAGACACTCTCTCCTTGTAATCATTATCAGAAAATTATAGTAACATCCTGACTTGGTAGTGCCCCCAGACGTAGTCTTTTGTGGCGAACTGGGTTACCAAATTTTGTGTGTCTTTCTTATTGTCTTTCGTGTTGTGTGAGTTTACTTCCTAACAACTTGCCCGTAGGAGGGTCTTTCCGGTGGAATTTTTTGATATTTTTTTTTGAGAATGTTCCTAATCAAGTCTAGTGCATATGATATGTACTAATTAGTAGTGCATAAATGTTTGTTTTTATGTTTGATTTGTGTGGATTGTTTACCGTTTTAGTTAGTTTGTAAACATTTGTGTGATTTTAGTTGTAATTGTATTTTAATCTTCATTTGTAAGTTGTAAAGTAGAGTTAGCAATTAGGATGTGGAAAGGAGGACATTGAAGTGAAGAAAAAATGATATTTGAATGCCCATGGGATAAAGCCCGACCGGGTAGGACCTTACACCCGGTCGGGTAAGAAGTGAAAACCGAAAGTGCCTAGGAAACTACTAGACCCGGTCGGGTCCCCTACTTCACCCGGCTGGGTCGGATTTGACCCGGGACATTTTAACGTGCTGAAACACAAGAACGTGGAAGATTATCTGATCTTGACATGCACCCGGTCGGGTGGGCACTTGACCCGGTCGGGTACCCAGCCCAAGGTCTTGAAAAACACCTATAAATAGGACACTTTTTCTTCACTATTTTTCATTCCTTCTTCCATACTCTTAAGCTCAGTTTAGAATAGTATTTCTTTTATATTTTTATAGCATGTTTAGTCTCCAAATGAGGAGCTAAACTTCCATTTCTTGGTGTTGCTCTTGAAGCTTGTTGATTATTAAAGTTGTGAGTTATTTTCTTAACTTCTTTCCTTGAATATTAATTCTTCCTTTAAATACTATTTCTATATCAATGTTGGGGAGTATTACTAAGATGACAATTAGTTAACATCTTGACATTGGTTATAGTAATAGTTATTTCTTCCTCTATGTTAATATTGGGGAATGTTACTAAGATGACAATTAGTTAACATCTTGATATTAACTATAGTAGGATTCATCTTCTTTAATATTCTTCCTTGAGTATTAATTAATTTATATTCATATTTCATATTAATATTTTGAACATTACTTAAAGGATCAACTAGTTTTGTTTCATATATTAATTATTACTAGAAACGATCAACGAACCGATGGTTAATCGTTGATGGTTTCACAAGTAACTTCGGTTTATTAATGCACGGTCGTGGTTAATAAACTTAGGGATTAATTTTTTTGGTTAAACCGAAACCGTTGTGTTGAGGTTATCAATCTCAATTGATTTCATCAAGGAGTTAAGAGATTAAATGCTACTATCAAGTCGGTATATGGCGGTGTTCTATACTTGACTAATAGTAAGGGTTATTAATGAACGGTCGTTGTTAATAACTACCCTCGATGAATTGGATATACTCCTCGATTGAGTATTCGAGAGGGGATAAGTTATAGATATAACAATAATCGACTAAAATATATCAACAAGTGGAAAGTAGCAATGCCAAGTCCCTTTTATTCTTGAATTAAATCTCATATAAGTCGTTCATCTTCGTGTTTAATTTAATTAAATCACTCAATCAATTAAAACCCCTCCTTTAATTACTTGTTTATGTAAAAAGATAATTATTCCTTTCCCTGTGGATACGAACTCTACTTCACCTATACTACGTATAAATGTTAGTATTGAATTTATTTTGACGCACCGTGACAAAGTGCACGTCTGCATACCAAAGTTGGGCTCAAAATTTGATCAAGAATATAATGCAGTTAAATAAATTCTTGAAACATATTGCGCTTTTATGTACAAAATGCTCAGTGTGTTTCAAGAATTTAATTGCCTTTTAAATAAAATGACATCAATATGCAACAAATAGCAAAAAACTAAAGTTTCAAAATTAAATGAGACATGATATGATGCTTTATCTCCTTTCCATGGTAAGGGTGTTGGATTATTTCCAATTAATATGGCCTTAGGACCAATATTAATATGTGTTATATGTTTATGTAATATATATAATTATGTATTATAGATATATGTATTATTTGATGGAAATAATACATAACGGGTACCAATGTGGTAACACCCTTTAGGATAAGAATGAAGAGTTGTGACTATTGAGTATTTTTTTTATAAATACTCCTTTTCTCTACCCATTGGATCACACGTACAAACACATGCATTATTCAAACACCATAAAGTTGAGAGAAATCACAACTCTCTAAATTTCACTCCATCTATTATTGTCCTAAAAGGGATTACACATCCATTCATCACAAGGACAACAATGACTTTTTCATCATCTAATCATGGTCTATCAAAGATTGGCTTCCCATCATGTAAGTTTATAGAACTTGTATATATATGATTATAACTTTAATATGTTGTGTGATGTGTAGATCTTGGTTTTCATGTATTGAAACAATCAACATGTGGTATCAGAGCGTTATATAACATCACACTTTTATGTTTTCATACCATATACGTACATACGAAGCATTATTCGTAAGTATAGTTGAATTGGGAAGATATATATAATAGTTTCCTTTTATTATATGGAACTGTGAACTAAGGCTATGTTTGGCGGGCATAAGTCCCTGACTTCTAGCTTTTGTACTGTTCAAAAAGTTCCTAAAAGCTTCTAGTTGTGTGTTTGGCATGACAATATTTAAGAGCTTTTCAAAAATTAAAAGATCTTTTTTGAGATGCTACCGGGAGTAGCATCTAAGAAAAGCTAGTGACTTTTAGTATTAATTAATCCTAACAGCTTGTATACCAAACCGAACTAAATCAAACAGTCAGCTTTTCATCAAACAGCTACCACCTTTTATTTTTAAGATCTTTTCAGTCACTAAAAGCTAACAGCTATTAAAAAGCTCACAAAAGTATCTTTTCAGCTAGTTGTGCCAAACATGCCCTAAGTGTTTTGGCATGGTCTTATTCCATGCTAATGTTAGAATCGTGATGAAAACTCCAATCGTATTCTGGAAAATGGAAATGAACCATTAGAGTACAAAGCAAATTGCAGAAGAATTTGTTTCTTCGCATAAAGTTGTACCGCCCGGCGGCCGTTGCTACTTTTTGTTTGTTTAGTTTCTGTCGCTAATCGATGGGTTTCTGTACTTTGGTGGTAGTTTATGACGGTTACCGGTAGTTACTAACGGTTACCGGTGGTTACTAACGGTTATCTCCATTTTCCGTACATCAAATTAAACACTAACCCAAATTAAACATCCTAGTGCATACATAATGATATTAATTGTTAGCAATGGATTGGTATGCCACATGGCTCCTGCCTGTAGTGCACACATAATGTTTAAGTGCATGCGCAAACAAACAAAAAGTACGAAGTAGTAATTATTATAATTATTATAATAATAAAACAATGGAAACGTATTTTGTTTGCTTACACGGTTACACCCTTTATGGGT